GGCAGGATTATTTTTTAGGTGCTTTATTTGCCAAGCCAGACAGAGACCCCTATTCACAAAGATATTTTAAATGACACAAGAACATACAGGTTAAGGCAAACAAATTCAGCTGAATATGAAAGGTAGAGCTAGTGTTATAACTATGATGTTGACTGTTACAGAAGTTTAGGCACTTTATTCACAAGTAGTTCACACCATATAAAGTAAAAAGGCAAATCTAAGCCACTCTAAATGAGTTTAAATTAAAATTAACATGACACTGACTCTCTATTCCCAAGCTGTGCACCCCCAGCCTACTCACTGGTGGGGTGAAAAGCAGAAAAGGCCTTGGCTCTGTGTAAGCACTGCTCAGCAGTAACTAAAATGTCCCTGTGTTTTCAAAACTGTTTTCAGCACAAATCCAAACAGCCCCATACAAGATGCTATGAAGAAAATTAACATGATCCCAGCACATGACAGCACAGTCATGTATTTAAAGCAAACCCAAACAAAACAAACAAAACAGAGTACGTGTAAGATAATGGAGCATGTATTTTCCAGCAACCAGTACCATGTTGGTCAGCAAGCCTTTTCTTACTTCTCTTTTGGAAAACAGAGGATCTCTGACATGAATGTGCTGATTTTAACTTAAGCCCACTAATGGAAAACATTGGACAGGGGGACAGGTTTGAATACTATCATCTCTCCTAGACTACTTCCATAAGTTACGCCTGTGGATAAGCACTGATACAAACCTGAAATTCATTGTTTCAGACTTTAGTTCAGATACGGTGAAACTAGACTGTTGGTGCCTTATTGTATATTTTATTTTTCATTCTTGCCTCCAAAATGCTTAAGCAGTCTTATTATCAGAAAAAACTGACTCTTCCTTTAAATTTTGTTCAGACAATGAATGAAGAACTGTACCTCCTTTATAAAAATATACAAATTTATATTTCACTCAGATATAGTTACTTTCAGAATTCTAATTTTAGGGTCCTGTGGTCTGGAAATCTGAATCTTATAGAATCACAGGATCATAGAATAGTTAGGGCTGGAAAGGACCTAGTTCCAACCCCCCTGCCATGGGCAGGGACATCTCACACTAAACCATGCCACCCAAGGCTTTGTCCAACCTGGCCTTGAACACTGCCAGGGATGGAGCATTCACAACCTCCCTGGGCAACCCATTCCAGTGCCTCACCACCCTAACAGGAAAGAATTTCTTCCTTATATCCAATCTAAACTTCCCCTGTTTAAGTTTGAACCCGTTACCCCTTGTCCTGTCACTACAGTCCCTAATGAAGAGTCCATCCTCAGCATCCCTATAGCCTCCCTTCAGATACTGGAAGGCTGCTATGACGTCTCCACGCAGCCTTCTCTTCTCCAGGCTGAACAGACCCAACTTTCTCAGCCTATCTTCATATGGGAGGTGCTCCAGTTCCCTGATCATCCTCGTGGCCCTTCTCTGGACTTGTTCCAACAGTTCCATGTCCTTTTATATGTTGAGGACACCAGAACTGCACACAATACTTCACGTGAGATCTCACAAGAGCAGAGTAGAGGGGCAGGATCACCTCCTTCTGCCTGCTGGTCACGCTCCTTTTGATGCAGCCCAGGATACGGTTGGCTTTCTGGGCTGCAAGCGCACACTGCCGGCTCCTGTTCATTTTCTCATTGACCAACACCCCCAAGCCCTTCTCCACACAGCTGCTCTGAATCTCTTGTCTAAATAGAAATCTTCCTAAAATAGAAAGCGAGTATCTCATTTAGTTGAATCCTAACTCATATTTTGAGATAGAATTAACTGGTTTATCTTTCTGTGAACTAAACAGAGTTAAAAAATTATTTTAGACTAGAAATGTGACCTCCAGGCAACTGAGCTTGTATAAAGTGAACCAAACTGCAAGTTATGGAGTTTCCCCTACAAAAGTTCGATTTGTCTCTCAAACTCATGCACCAGGCTCCTGATTATCTATCATATATATCTGTAAATTCATTTCCTGCTTGTGCTCTTTACCACATGAATTACCTTTTTCCAAAGGCGATGCACTAAAAAAGAACTACCCCTACCCAATACATATAAAAACTTTTCAGTGTCTCTTGGCATCACAAGTTGGTGCCTTTTCAGCATTTATATACAGATATAGATGATTCGTGATCACAAATACTTTAAGACAGGTCTTTCTAATTTTGATGTCTTGACTTTATGTACTCATTTCACCCAAGTTGAACTTAATGCACTGAAATGTTCCTTTGTGTGAAGTCCAGATGGTCTAAAATAAGGCCTTTTCTGAAAGAGCTGACCAAAAATGTTATTTTAGGTCTAGCCTTAAGTCTTAGCAGAGGACAATAGATAGCTGGGGCCATCAAAAGAGTTAATCAGATGTGCTGAGTTCCTGGCTAGTATCCTAACCAATAGTTCTTTCTTTCCTTGCCGCATGTTCTTTTTTTTTTATCTTTGTGATCTTTTTTGCCCAATTTATTCTCTAGAATGATGCAAAATAATTTTTTCTCTTTGTAGGGAAATATTCCACTGAAGAAAAATATATTTAATGTGTGTATATGTGTGTGTGTACAAGCAACTGATCTATCTGTACTCGTAATTAATTTTTCACATATATGTTTTATTTTTGTACATTAAGCCTCTCCTTCAGGAAAGAACCTGAAGATTAATTACCTTCACCTCACATAACCCAGTCATTTTGGTCAGTGCATAAAGAAATGAAAATTTTCTTGTATCCAGGAAGGCAAGAAGAGAGAATTTTTGTAATTTAGATGTACTGGCAATCAAATATATAACAAACTGACTCCAGGTAAGGTTTGGTTGGTTGGTTGGTTTCCTTGAGTTATCCTCTGCTTCCATAAAGGAAGAACAATTGAAAGATTTTATCACTGGGCTAGTATATTTTCATGATTTTTCATGTTCCTGCCTTAGCCAGTATTATACTGTGCCAAGGAAAAAAAACCAGAAATCTAAATCCCACATGCTGCAGTAAGCTATCCATCACATAGCTGAACTTGAGAACCTCACTCTTTCATAAGGAACAGCTAGACAGAAAAGGGTGAAAAGTTTCTACTGTTCTCTTGCTGTACAACAGGCTGATCAAGGATTCTGAATGGCTTTTAGCGTTCTTCTCACAATCGCCCTGGCAGAGCTTTATTTTCTGAAAAGCTATTTGATTATCAGTAATATTTTATGTATTAGCAGGCTTTTTTTCCTCAGGTAGAGCTACATATTTTAAGTAATTAAAATCTATACAATACAGAATAGCTAATCAATAAAAATTATAATAAACAACAATAAAAAAGGTTAAATTAAGCACTCAGTTAAAGATAATATTGTTTTCCAGTTTCAGGATGTGAATATTTGTCTCTCTATTACATTTAGATTATTAAAATGAATTCTTATACTTGCCAAATGTTATGGGCTTACCAGAATGTGAATTATAAAGAAAATTCCATAATTATATCTTTCTTGGAATTAAAATTGAATGTTGATCACAGGATGATGTACTAGTTTAAGTAGCTATTAACTCCAACACAATTTTATTATACCAGCTTGTCATGGTTTAAGCCCAGTCAGCAAACCAAAACGCAGTCAGTCACTCAGTCCCCCTCCTTCCTCCCCCTGCTCCAGGAGGCATAATACATATGAAGCAATGCTGAGAACTGCAGGCAGTTTGCACAATGTATTCCAGCAAATGCAAGGGGAATACGTGCATTATCAGCCACTCACCTCTACCCCTCAAACCTATCCAGTTTTGAGACAACTTTGTTTGCAGATGCCTGGGACACCTGCTGTCATCTCCCAGTGTTTCTCCCATCAGAGTGAGAGGGATCTGAGGGGTATATTTTTTTTTTTCTTTTTTTTCAAAACAGGATTTAGGGGGGTTTTGGTTGTTTTTTTTTGTTTTATTTTTTATTTTTTTGTTTTTCGGGGTTTTTGGGGAGGAGGTGGGAGGCGGTTGTTTGGTTTTGTGTTGGGGGTATTTTATTATTATTTTGTTTCCTTGTTGGTTTGTTTGGTTTTTTTTCTTTCTGTTTCAGCATCTCTCTCCCCACCGCGAGCAGTTGTCAATGAAAGTACAGTGGAGCAATTCAATGCTCCTATCTGCTGCCTGCCTTCATTTTTCTTTCAGAAGCAAGTTTCTCTTTACTTCTGGACCTTAAAAGGTGTCTAAGATATGCAGCTGTATTCCAACAGCAGGCAGTACTCTTTAGAGCTTATCTGAATCTTTTTCAAGGTGTAGCAGTAGTTCTTCTGCACTCATAAATATCTTTCTGTCATTTCTTTCCTAATCCAAAGACTCTCTCAATACACTTTATTTTCTGTTTTCCATTCTGCAGGATGCAGATGGCAAGGCAGAGAGATACGACTTTTGTAATTCTTTCTTATTTTTACTAATACAGATGAAAAGCCATTCAAAGAGCAGTCTTGTGACATTACATGAAATTACTGGAAGTCCTTTCCAATCCTAACTATCCTATTCTAATCCTAACTATTCTACGATCCTATGAAGTGCGTACTAACACAATGTGAAATAACTACCATCCTATAACGTGCTTCCTAAACTATATCCTAAATCTATCCTAAAGTATATCCTAAAATTTGTTTTAAAAAGACATAGTAATAGACGAATAAACACAGTTATAAACACAGAAACAAGTGTATCAACAAACATAGACACAAGCAGAGTAACAACGGTAGTAACAAAGTCCAGAGGCCAGCTCACCACTTGAGGAGAGGCTCCAGTGGGTGGGCTTTGGCTGGCAGAGCTGAGGAGTGAGCCAGCAAGGCCGCCTGTGAGGGCTGGGATGGGTCTGAGGGCTCTGCTCTGGCTCCGGGGCAAGGTGGTGGAACCTTCTATCCAGAGCAGAAGGACATGGTGGTTCTGTCCTAGCCGCTGCCGAGGTGGTGCTGGGGCCACACGGTGGAACTCCAAGCCCAGGCAGCAGAGCGCATGCAGGGAATCGAAGCAGTAAATGGGCACCTACAAGGGCAGTCAGAAAGTGCTGATGAAGACATGAGGGGAGGAGCAGGCAGGACTTGGCTCCTGGGTTGTTTGGAAGTATGCTGTAGAAAGGGTCATTGCTAGCACAGGAGAGAGGCTCCTTACTGTCTCCTAACTGACAACTACAGTGCTGCTTTGGTACCTTCTCAACACATGCAACACCTTCAGAGCATGACAAGTTGACAGAGATACACAGTGCCCCCTTGCCAGGCAGCAGGGCTCGGCAGGGAGCCTGGGAAGCTGGGATATGGTCCTTTCCAAAATCCAAGCAACAGCATCCCTCACACTGCCATACTAAAATCGCAGGTTGGCAGGCAATGCTGTGGTGGCATGTTTCTCCTGACATACATGTTCCCCCAAGGCAGGACCATCCTGTGCACCTCAGGAATGTTTCCTATACTCAGAGCTTGGCAAAAAGATGGAACACAGGCTCTGCTACATACCTGGGTGCCTTGCTCTTCCCCTGCTTGAATTTTTTGAGTTGCCCATCCCTGAGAGCTCAGTTTTGGTCTTCTTCCGGGATGGTGGCCTGTCACTGCCCTCTTCCCAGGTTGCTCTTTGCTTCCTGGTGTTCCGCGAAGAGCCAGGGAACCTTTCCATTCAACAGTATTGTTAGACAGGCGAAGCCATGATTACCTTGAACCAATCAAAGCCAGGCAGTTTTACCTTTTCTCCCCAGAAAAGCTCCTCTGCTGTTCGCTCTTGGGAGCAATGGGAGGCACCTGCAATGGCAATGTGCAGGTTAGCAGGGGGCAAGGACCTCCCTGCACAATTGCTACCCTAGCTCTAAAAGGCACATACCTTGGATGGGTTTGCTCAGCTCAGCTGAGCCAGGTGTGGTGGGATCACCTCACAAAGTGGGATGGCCAACCTGCATCATCCTTGCTCTGTACTTTGGCAGAGCTGTAGGCTGATGGATGACCGTGCTTGTCCTTGCAGCAGCAGCCCCATCTTCTGAGGGGGGAGGCTTTTGTTGTCACACTGCTTGTGCACTTCATTTACCTCTGCTGTTTCCAGCTCTGCTTGTAGTGCTGGTGTCTCCTGATCCCCCTTGCTGGCCAGCCCAGCCACCTGCTCTCCAATGAGTTCCTCCTGCTGGTCAATGAGGAACTCGACGAGCTGCGTTCCCTGCACACAGCAAACCACTGTTTCACTGAGGGGGCTGATGAGGCCTCAAACAGCCTTTCCCAGCCTGACCCACGCTTCTGTGCAGGCAGGTGCAGCTGTGGGGCTGCTCTTCCTGGCTGCCGCCCCGTGGCTTTGCTGATAGGAGGAGGCAGCCAGGACCCTCCGAGCAGCAAAGCTGGGCTGGGCTTGGAATGCTGTAGCCGGGTGGTGAACACAGCGTACCTTCCCTGTCTCCAGAGCCAGGACATCCAGGGGCATCTCCTGGAGTTGGCTCAGGAGGTTTGATGCCAGGCAGATGGATAGGTTCCTGGCCGTCATCTTGGTTGTGGCCACATTCTTGCTGGTGCTGCTAAGCAGCCACAGCAAGTGCTGGAGCAGGAGCAGGTTGGCCTCTGGTAGCTTGCTGGCCACCCTGAGGGAACAGAAGCACAGTGTTAATGAAGCCGGTGTTGACAACACAGGTCTCCCAGGCTGATCTCACCCAAGGCCACTGCCTGCTCTAAAGCAGAGGTTCTGCCTTTGCTGAGATGCGACCACCTCCCTCCCTCCCTGCTCTTCTGAAAGAGGCTCTTGTTAGAACAAGCCCCAGTGCCTGTGGGAAGTGCTCCCCAGAGAGAAAAGCCTTTTGGTGCCCCTTTCCCTGCAAACATAAACCCCGCAGCAACAGGAGGTGGCTTGCAGGAGCCATGGCTATTTCAGGCACGCCACTGCTTTGCATTGGAATCCCAGGCTGTGCCAGTCCTTGCTGGCTGCTGCCACACTTACTCTTTCAGTGCTGCCAGCCTCTCCTGCCTACTGGTCTTCTCCATGGCATTCATCCACTCCTCGAACAGCTGGATGTTGAGGAGCTTGGAGGGGACATTGCGGAGGAGGTCCTGCAGTGCCAAGAGCTCCACATGAGGCTTTGGCCACTGCCTCCAGGAGCACCTGCAGTATCCCCAGCCCTCTGGCTCATGAGCAGGTGGCTGGGTTTCTGCTTGTGTTCCCGCAGGTGCCCATCATCACCAAGAGAGCCAGGAGCTGCAGGGCTCTGGGTCAGCAGGGCTCACCTTCAAGAAGACAGCCAGCAGCAGCATGAGCTGGTTTTCCAGTTGCACCGGCACCCCGCTGTCCAGGGCCTCCCTGACCTCATGGCAGGCGCGCTGGCTGGCTGGCAGTCGGAAGATCCGCTTCGTGGATGGGCCATGCTCATTGAGCAGAGCCAGCAGGTCCTGAGGGCACAGAGGAGGAGAGTTGCTGGGCTGGAGAGAGGTCCTGAGGTAGGTGCTGGGGACAACCTCTTTATGGAGGAGCCAGCAGGATGGGATGGGATGGGATGGGATGGGATGGGATGGGATGGGATGGGATGGGATGGGATGGGATGGGATGGGATGGGATGGGATTGTTAGCGTAAGAACTGACACATAACCACCGGAATGGTTATATGAGGTGCTTTACTGAGGCGCCAGGAACCAGGGGTACGCACCCAAATCTGGTTCCGATTCCCGTCACATCGCGTTCGCAATTTATACACTAAAAATTTCGTAACTAATACATATTCAACACAGATTACATCATTGACTAATACATATGCATCAAAGATTGCTACATCAATCTATTACGACATCAGCCTCTTTTGCGCTTGCGCTGCCCCCTCTGGTGGTCGCCCTGATGAAGTAAGGAGTCTTCCTCAGATGAAGTAAGAAGTCTTCCTCAGGTTGTCCTTTTCACCTTTTCTCTACTTGGCCAGGTCCCAGTCGTCTTCTGGACGTTAGCATTCTCTTATCTTCACCAGGATGCTTCTGGTATGCCCTTTTTGGCTATCTTAAACTTAGGTTCTGCTTGGGTAGAGTTTTACAATACATACACATATACTCCCCTCACTATATGCGGTTATGTTAGCTCTTGCTACCAAGACTACCATTGTATCATGTAGTTACAGAGTAACTATGATACAAAACGGCAAAGTTACAACATCTTCTAATATACAAAGCCTCACTATTGATTTATAAATTTCTCAAATATAATCATTTTACTATTTTATATGATTATTTTATTGTAAAAACTTCAACCTCTCTAACACTTCCGCCCTTTGAAAATACTTCATTTAACTTAAGCACGTATTTTCATTCTCTTAGGTAGCTCTCTCCTGGTAGATAGGTGAAGGTGTGGGGTACTTTGGATGTTCCCTAGTTACTGCTCCTGTGATTCGATGAGTCCAGGCACTGTTGCGAGTTATTTCCCTTCGGATACAAAAATACATCAGATATGTTATCAAAAACACAATTAATATTATAATTGCGGTTTGTATGAGGGAACGAATCCATCCGGTAAGGTGAAGGCCCAGACTGCTAAATATTGTCCCTAGCCAATCTTGTTCAGCATTTTCTTTTTCTTTTTCTATTTCTTGTTCAATGTTGGTTAGTTGGGAAATGTTGTGTTCTATATCCGCAGTCACGTTAGGAATGTGAATACAGCAATGATCCACTCTGTCCTTTAAATATCCACAGACACCATGTTCCTTAAGTAACAACATGTCTAATGCCATTCTGTTCTGCAAAGTCATTTTAGTTGTTGCTTGTAATTGCAAATTTAAATCTTTGAATCCTTTCTTTGTTATTCTGGCTAATCTTTTTGTTTGGCCAATCAGGCTGTCAATCATCTCTCTATTTCGATATGCTGCTACTTGGGCAAATAGGGATTCAAAAGCCCATCCTATTTTAACTCCTGTGGAGCGCTCCTGCCAAGTGTCTTCATCATCACTGTTGTTATCACCTATATCTCTTTTTGTTCGAATCTGCAGGGCTTCCAATCTGCCTTTGAATGGTGACTTCTTCCAAATTGGACAAAGAGTTGGTAATCCTAAGGTGATTTCTTTAGCTGGACCATCCACAGATAAGTTCCATCACTTGCTGCCCAAACAAAATGTCCTATACTACGTACCATAGAATATTTACAGTCTACATTGTCAATTGGGACCTGTATCACTTTTCCTCCAGTTCTCAGTCCTCGACATGCACATCGTGCCATTAAAGCAATTTTAACTGGAGGTATTGTGATTTCTTCGGTGTCAGAGTCGCAAGCTAAAATTTTGGTACAATTCCACCAAGGAACATTTTTGATAACATCTCGACTAACTCTGTTTATGGACAGCAAATTATTGATGTTTGTTTTCTGTCACATTTTGCCACAGAGTGATGGGGATGGACGTGCCCTGCAGGAAGGGCAGCGGCAGCCCCATTGCAGCACGCGTGCCCTCCTGCAAGAGCAGGAGAGAAGGGCCATCCTGCCCCTGTCTTCTCCACACTCACCATCCACGTGGCCACGTCTGCCTTCACTGCTGGAGCGGGCCAGGAAGTGGCAGCTGCCTGGCACCAGCCTGCAAGAAATGGGCTGTGCTCACCAAGGAGCCCCACAGCAGAAAGGCTCCCTGGAGAGCTGCATCAGCCTCTGGCTGTGTGTGAGAGGTGGGGATGAGTGAGATTGCTCCTCAAGTGACTCTGACCTGGGCTTGGTGCTGGAGCAGCTTCTCCATGCTGCTGGCATCCAGTGTCGTCCCCTGGGCAAGGGGAAAAGAGCAGAAGGTGAGGAGCAATGCAGCTGATGCTGGGCTGGAGGAGCCCCTGGGGACAGAGCAGAGGCAGGAGGGACACTCACAACATGGCAGCCACTCAGCTCCTTCAGCAGCAGCCTGATGGACGGCAGCTGGGTCACCCTGGCTCCCTGAACTCCTTCCAGTCATCTGTGCACAGGGAAGGGGGAGAGAAAGAGCTGTGTGAGACCCAAGCCAGCTCTTCCCTCTGCTGCCAGCCTGGTGAGCTCTTCCACACTGCCAGGAACAGCCGGGACCACCTGGCAGTGGAGCAGGAGCAGCAGCAGTGCCGAGGATGGGGCTGGGCAAGTGTTGTCTGGACACAGCTGGATGAAGCAGCTCTGCCAGCTGTGCCTGCTTGGCAGTGGTGACACCTCTGCCTGCAGCTGTGTGAGCACCTCTGCCTGCAGCTGTGGGGGCACCTCTGTCTGCAGCTGTGGGGTACTTGTGCCCAGCTCAGCAGAGGTGTTTTCTAATTGTTTGGTTGACACTCATGGAGCATCTCCCCATGATGGGAGCATGGGCAGCCAGGCTGCAGTACCAGGCAGGGCTTACCTAAGGAGGGCGTTGACCCAGAGTTCCTTCACTGCTCGGGAGCTGCCAAAAGAGGGGAGAAACAGCCTTAGTGCCTGCTGTGCCCCAGCAGATGATGCCTCATGGGGCAGGGCAGAGGTGCGGCCCACCCCTCTGGTGGGATGTTGCACTGGGACTCACAAGAAGGTGACTACACAGGAGCCACAGGGCCAGAGGAAGACAAGGGAGCTGATGGCCTTCCCTTCCTCCTCCTCAGCAGCATCACCAGCTGAGCCCTTCCCGCTGCTCAGCACCTGCAGCAGGCCCAGGGCCAGCCAGAGCAGCAGGCGCAGGGTGCTGCCACGTCTGCAGAGAGGAGCAGCAGGGAGTGAGCTGGAGGTGGCCGAGCCTGCTGGCTCCCCTCTAGTGCCCACCTGCCATGGGCATGGCCACGTGTGCATCCAGCACCAGGGTGCTGGGGCCCTGAGGCTGCTCTTTGGCTGTCCCTGCTCTGGTGCTCTGGTGCCAGGGGCAGGGCTTGGGAGGAAAGGCAGCTGGGCTCTGGCTGTCTTACTTGGTCTTGACGATGACCAGGGTGTCTCTGAAGAGGAGGAGGTCCCTCTTCTTCCTCTGGTCACGGCCCCGAGTCACCCGCACGCATGCCTGGAGCAGCGGTTCAGGCAACACCGGGTGGGGCTTGCACTGCTGCTCGGGGCCATGGTCATCCCTGCTGGGCAGACAATGTCAGACATGATCAAAGCAGCTGCAGTGGGGCCTGACTGTGTTGGTGCATCCCCGAGCTGTGGGGGAACCCACCTGGACCAGCAGCAGCGGAGCCACTGCCCCATCCTGACAGGGGCACAAGAAGGCGTGCAAATAAAAACTTGTCACACTCAGGATGGGAGCGCTCCTCTACAAGAGGTTGGCACCCCCAGTGCCGCTGGTGCTGCCACTTGCAGCACCATCTGTACAGGCACTGGAGTTGTTGCTGGGCCACCACTGGGTTAGTATGGAACACCACTGTGACCTCAGTTCTGGAACCCAGGGCCCAGATGGGGCAGAGCCCTGTGGGGCTCTCCCCATGATGCCCATGTCCAGCCCTGACCCCAAAGACTGCTCCCTTACAACGGCAGTGTCCACCAATGGAAAGTCATGGCTCCTGCAGCCATGGTCCTCTGACTCACAGGACCTGGGTAGCCCCAGGTCTACCATGCACATTGAGGCAATCCTAAAGCATTAAATACCTCTGTCTTTCCTTCATCTGCACTTTTCAGTGGTCATGTTCATAAAGTCAAGGTCCCAATACTTTCCTTAGGCCTCTGCTTGCTATTAGCATACTTCAAAAAGCCTTTTGTTGCTGTCTGACAGAACCCTGACCAGTTTCATCTCTAGTTGAGCTTTGGGCTTTTGTGATGTCTCCCTCCATGTGTGAGCCACATCTCAATAGTTTTCCTGAGAAGCTTGAACTTGCTTCTAGAGAGCACACAATTTCTGTTCCCACCCCCGTTCCAGGAGGAGTTCCAAGCTGCTCTTCTGCTGCACCTGCTTGGCTTCTATTGACACAATGGGATTGCTGCTCCTGTGCTTTCAAAACTGGTTCTTTAAAAGCGAGCAGCTCTCGTGGTCCCTGAAGTCCTCAAAAGCTCATGCCCAGGAGACCCTACCAAATAGGTTCCTCTGTAGCTTAAGTTTTGCTCTCTTGATACCCAGTGTAGCAACTCTGCTGAGTTTTTCCCTCATGACATCCAAAAGCTTGAGCTCAAGGTCTTTGGGATTAGGGTGGCCAAGACAGCCTCCTACCATCACACCTCACACGCATCCCTCTTGATTCACAAAGAGCAAGTCTAGGAGGGCACCTTTCCTAGTTGGATCACTGAGTACTTGTGAGAAGAAGCTGCCTTTCGCAAACATCAGGAATTCCACAGCCTCACTTGTCCTAGCAGTGACAGTATGGTATTGCCAGCTGAGGTGTGGGAAATGGAAATCTCCCAGAAGGACAAGAGCTACCTACCCAGAGATTTCTCCTAATTGCCCATAGAATCTTGTCTATGTGTGCTGTATTTTAAGCCCACCCAGTAACTCCAAGCAACACATCTGCTTGCTCGCTCCCTCCGTTCTTACCTCCCAACTCCCTCTCCAGACAGATGGGGAGGATAATCATACAATCATAGAATCATAGAATAGTTAGGGTTGGAAAGGACCTTAAGATCACCCAGTTCCACCACCCCTGCCATGGGCAGGGACACCTCACACTA